ATTCAGGCAGAATCGCAGATGGTGCTTGACAGGCTGACAAAGAAAGATTTCCAGGGATGCTTCCAGGCTTAGCAGCGGCGCTGGGGTCGTTGTGTTCACTCCCAGGGGAACTACTTCGAGGGTGATGGATGAACTTAATACCTGAGATAAGTGTACGGGTTTTTATACGCGCAGTCTTGAAACTTTCCGATCGCACCTCGTATATGTGCCAGGGCATTGCCCTGATGATGGAGGCGGTAAGTACCTCCGAAACGTCGGTCAATACCTTCCTGTGTTTACTTCTGCCTTTTATAAAATAGTTTTTCGCCCATTTCCCTTACGTCTTTTATGCGTTTGTTCAGCAAACTGACGAAATAACTGATGGATCCCATCAAATTCCAATCCCTCCTGATTTTCTTGAGTCTTCGTAACAGAGGAACGGGAGTCCCTAGGAGAACGCGCAAATGCACCGACAGAACAGAGAAGAAGATACGAAATATATCGCGAGGCAGGTGACACGAGACGACTCGTATTTTCACAAATCAACGTCGCCTTTCTTGAAGGTGCCTTGCGGGAGACTTGGAAGTGGAAATGGGAGGATCTTCTTGCATCTTCCGACCAATAGGATGGTGAGAGAGACTTCCAAGAAAGTGATGTGTTATGTACCACTGCCTCAGTTCCGCCCCAGACGAGTCTCGGGTGTGTCAACAGCGAGTGATCGCGTAGTTTTTCATTAACTTTTTTCGGTTTACACTTCGAAGACATAAAATACATTTCAGTTTCGTGGTTAACACTTTACGAACATGTGTCATTGTAACAAACATTCGTGTTTCTAAAATTTGTGTTCAGTTCCGATATCCACAAATATATCAGATGAATCCAAATACATTCAACAATTACTGTCTCTGAATATCACGTTCAAAAGTGACGATACAAGACGGAAGCTGTCATTGTTACCAACTCAGAAGAACACGACATCAAACTGAAACCAGAAACAAATGCACATCAAGACAGAAGAAGGCGACAGTCCGCTGTCGGTACGTAATCTGCCAACAATGTCGTATTACCCGGAGTCCGAGGCGTGCAACAGACATTTCCGGGACAACGACGTGGCGTCATCGGCTTCCTCTTCCCCGACGCGCTACAACGAGTACCCTTCCTTCAAGCTGTGTCCAGACGCGACGTCGAGGCTTATAGATTTGAGCCGCGGTAACTCCGCGCAGAGCGAGCCCCAACACTACGGCTCGTACCACAACTACCACCACCACGGTCCTCTGAACCAGCTTCCCGCAAACTACCTGGTGTCCACCGGCTACAACGGGCAAGAGTTCCTCGACGGTCACGTGGGTGAAGACGTGTCCGACGTTACAGCACGTCACCTGCAGGAGGACCAACAGCCGACGTCGTCCAAGACGCTGGACTCCGATGACGGCGAAGGGGTGGCGTCGGGGTCGGTCCTCAAGCTGGGGACCGCGCGGAAACGCAAACAGGGCTCGACGCGACAGCTGTTCAACCAGGAGAACTGCGACAAGCACAAAGTTCGCAGGAAGTCGCAGTCCTTCGAGGAACTACAGTCTCAGCGAATCCAGGCGAACGTGCGCGAACGACAGCGAACGCAGAGTCTGAACGAGGCGTTCGCGTCTCTGCGAAAGATCATTCCCACCCTGCCTTCTGACAAACTGTCCAAGATACAGACTCTTAAGCTGGCCGCCCGCTACATCGACTTCTTGTACCAGGTGCTGCACTGCGGGGTCGGGCCCGACGGGGACAACGACGGCGGCGACAACGCAGGTCAGTCACCCCCCCCCCCCCCAAAAAAAAAGGGGGCCTTACGACGGCCCAAAGACTGGCAAAGGTTTACTCAAGACCTGAGGTTGTTCGATAACGGAGAACTGCAAAGAACGTTTCGACCAAGTGACAGCACAGAATGGAGAAAATTACATGATGAGGAGCTTCATAATTTGTCTCGTATTCCAGCATCCCAGTCCTCATGCAAATTTATTTAAACTTGGTGAAATATCAGGTTCTCGCGGTAGCGAGTAAGAAGATGACTCGTCTTCTGGGGTGTGTTAGAATTTTATCGACGTTTCAGAGGTGCTTGTTGCCGCTCCCTAATTAAAATTCGAGCTAAACATTATGTAAACGTAAATTATCGGTTTCTTGACGACATGTTTCGACACGTTTTAAGTTATCTTAAGGCAATTTTTCATTACATGTAAAATAAATGTGCGGGTATAACTTCAATATAATTGTAATTTGTTACTAGGAAGTTAAAGCGAACAGATGGGTTCGGTGTATAGCAGGCAAGGGGGAAATGATAAATGCATACAAACTTTTTGTGTGAAAACCTGAAGGTAAGAGACCATTAGGGATACGTGGGAGCACGATTGATGAGAGGATAATATCCCTCAGGACTCTGTTGAGCTAATTTATTAAGCAGTTATTCAAGTACTAAATGGTTTGACCAAATTGCTTTATGTTCCGGAACCTTCTGGATAAGAAAGACGAATCCTAACCACACGACCGCGGAGTTGGCGTTACGCCATCCAGTCGCGCCATTCCTCCAACTGACCGTTAAGACTCGAGATACGAGATTCGTTCACAAATGCAGAGCGGAAGAAAGGATTTTATGTTCACAGACAAGTAGATCAGTCCATCATCATAATACAAGCGTTGGAGTAAACTGCCCGACAATAATGACGGAAACCCCACAACATTAAGGACACAAGTCATAAAAATTATCCCTTCACAGAATTACCATGACAACAGTTACAAACACACCATCGTTATCACATTATTATTTAGTGTTCTGTCTGACGACAGGTCCATATGAACAGGATCCTTCCATCCTTTTCTCGGACTGGGACCTGTTCATATACGTTCTTGGCAGATGATCCAGAAGTGGTTTACCATTGCCTTCTTCTGTGTGTGAATGAAGTAATTGTTGGGATGCCACGGAGGAAAACTCCGGGCTGCCTAGACCACGGCCTTGCCCACCACAAGTTATAAATCCTCGACAGCAAACGATAACCAACGAACGTAATGCTTCTAGAAAGCTAAAAAAATTTTGTTCAGAAGCCAGAGGAAATCCTAATCTGAGAGATTAGCAAGAGACATGCGTTTTAGATAAACAAGCAAGTAGACGGTTTCATTCACAAAGTTACATATCGCAAATATTTGTTTTACGAATGCGGACAAAGCAATTTTGTTTCTTGTTAGAGTTTTCAACCGATGCTATAAAATCTAAAAGTTCTTGACGATGGTGAAGAGTCAATTGAATAAAAATTTATTTTATTTACTAAACGATGGATAATATCCAAGAAAATTTTTATTCAAACGATGCTATAAAACTTGGTCTCGAATCATTTAATGTACATCCCAGAATATAATACCAAGCCCACCCTTGAGGTCCATGAAGGGTCGGGAGTGTCCTGGTGGCTTCTTCGCGTTTTGAAACCTTTCTGAATGTGAATTATTTCCGTTTCTCTGTGTGGCAGGAAGCGAAGCGAGGACCCCGGGTCCCTGCAGTCCCAGCACACGATTGGCACTCATGAGTGCCTCGGCTGTGACGTCATCATGCACATATATGGCCCACGAGAGGTTAAGCTACGCCTTCAGTGTGTGGAGAATGGAGGGCGACTGGAACGGTGGAGGTCACGTCTAGCAGGTCAGTTCCAGGCGGTAGCTGAAGACTACCTTGAATCACATCCACCCAGCATCCCACACAGATCATCGTTATCTGGACCAACGGCTTCGTCACAGTTTTAGCGCGAGCGAAGAACAATTTTTATGGACTCGTCCACGTCTGTCTGTCTGTGTCTGCGACGTTTTGCTTAGGACGTAGGTAACCCGCGTGGCCGTAGATCATTTCTCCGCAACAACGGGGGGGAAAAAAATTGCGTAAAAATTACCTCGTATCACATTAGAGCAATAATGACATAAGACGCGACACTGCGTGCGTGTATATTTTCGGTCAAGAAACCCTGAATTAAAAAGATCATTTGGAAAACCTTGACGAAGATGGAAGACAATATTAAAACCAATTTTTATGAAACAGGGTATGAAGAAATGGAGTTGTTTTAAGTGCCTTACGGGATAAGAATCAGCTGCAAAAATTTTTGAATCCGATAATGAAATTTCGGGTTCCATTTCTTTGCCTTCAGCTCTTGAAGGCGGACTCTGCCCCACGTAGTTTGTTTATTAATCTGTACTTTACGCTTAATTTTGTGAGGGTATCCAACTGTGGATGTGTGACGTGGGTGGGCTGTGTGACACTCGCCCCCGGGGGAGGGGGGGCTCATGAGGGGACCTCAAGACGGTATGAAAGCAGTCACGGAGGGCAACCCTGCACCTAGTTACGGACGTCAGATAGAGTTATCAGCTAAAGATGAAATCCAATTGTGGGTTATAAAACCTCGGGCTCCAGAATGAAAAAGGGTTTTATTAGCCAGTTGAGTAGCCTGTCGCATTTGCAAGGATTTACAAGTAGTTTCTCAGGCATGCCCCATACCGGAAATACGTTTTAAAAGGAGATTATGACTGAATTTTATGTAGGCCAGTAGGACGAATATGAGATTCCTGCAATACCTAAATTTAATCGAAATCGATGCCGAATTAAGCTATCAATTCGTGAAAAGAACACACGCGGATGTAAGGCCTGTTCATCGTTTAGTGTCTAGGAAACTTCCGACACCGCTGAGTACCGTACACTGACGATGGTGTCATGTTGATGGCGTAACATCTGACAACACCGACTCGGCATTAAGTCGCAACAATGTTAGCCGCTCTCTCGTCACAGCATGACAGATGCGCCATTGTGTTCTCAGCCGGAGACTTTGGCTCAAATCTCTATCTCCATGGTAACCCTGTTGGGTCATCCTCGATCAGCAGATAGTTAGTTATTCAACTACCAAAGAAATAGAATGAGTAACACAATTCTGGACCAGCTGTATTCAGTAATTATTCCCCCCCTTTAAAATCTCCCATCTACGCTTAGGTCTTACAAGTAGCCTTTTTCCTTCAGATTTTTCAACGAAAAAAGTCTCGTATCTAAATTTCAAAAATGAGGTCGCAAAGATTATGGATTTTTATAACCAAACAAAGAGATTTTACAAATCGTGTGGTTATTCTGTGACATTCTGCCGTGTACGCTCATAAAAATTGATCCGACGTTTCAGAGGTGCTTACTGCCTCCATCATCAGGGCGATTTACCCCCTGGGCAACAACCCAGAAGACAGTCAACTCATCTCCGTACCCGCCACCGTGAAAATCTCACAATCCTTAGCCCTCACAACATTCATATTAATGTTACCGTCATCATCATCTTGGTCTTACAAATAGACGTCTTCCAAGAGGTGAAAATCACACGAAAACCAATTTATACAGATTATAATCACTGGGTTCAGTTGAGTTTCTTCTGTTTTCCTATGGAAGCCTCGAGTCTTCCGTGAAAAATCCCACGAACATCCCAATAAATAAGATGTGACGTAGCTCGTAGCTGAGGGGGGGATGTGAACAGCCACTTTGTTTATTTGTAGTTGGAAGGTAGACAAAAACAGACCCCATTATGGGCGCGACACACAGAGGATAACATTTCTCTACAGCCACAAAAACAGTCCGGTAACGAAGCTCAGCTCAGAGTAAGTAAACATTCACACAGTACATCGGGGGCGCATCCCAAGGAACGCCGTTGAACACGACAATTTTCTGGGCTGTTGCGCCGTGTAGTCTGACAGAAACTGACCGACGTTTCAGAGTTACTTAGTACCTCTGTCATCTTCCATCGCCCTGAAGATGAAAGTAGTAAACGTCTCTGAAACGTCGGTCAACTATATGAGACTACACTGCGCATCACCTCAGAAGACAATCATCTTTGTACGTCGTACCGGAAAACCAAAACCAAAATGCTATTTTGTCGTATATAACCAGTCTCTTATCCCAGGATGAAAATTATCATCAAAGAGGGTATATCGTCTTGAGGTCTGTGACGATGATAATTAATCTGGCGAAGACGTCAGTTGAGATACAGAACACAGAATCTCTAAAATGCTATTAGGACGATGGTTGGCGGTGCTATAATAAATCGGACTGCTAATATCAGGCCAGTGTCGTCTCCCAGCTAGGCCACGTGGGGTATCATCGGATCAAGTTTTTTCTCCAAGTCAGTATATTTCCACCGTTGCTCCATATTCACTTACGTCATTTGGGGGATGGACAATGGGGCTGTCGGCGGTCCTAGTTCTAATAACCCCTATCGCAACATTAAAACAAAAACAGTGGTCTGGAAACAAATGCATGGAAACTAGGTTAGCCCATGCCCGTGTCTCGTTAATAAACTACAAGACAAAATCCATCTCTCCGTGTACATAATAACGAAAGTCCGCCAACATCTTGCGTCTCCCAAACGGAGCGTAGTATAAAAAATTATAAACAAAAAATATCCCTCTTGGAGATACAAGTCCTTGAAAATTATTTTTTCCCACTATTTCGAAAATTAAGCACAGGGGTGTTCAAGAAACTTTAAGCGTCGTATAAATATCATTTGTCACGTTATAAAGACTTTCATTTCAGACATCTAAGTAATACTTAACTGTGCATGGTAGGGAAAAATACAACATAAAAGTTCCTCTTGGACACTTTTTTATATTTCAGAAATGTCACGCTCTCTAATATTAAAAGCGTTAAGACATTATAAGTCTTTCCCGGAAATTAATGTTCTAACTTCCTCTTAAATATTGTATGCAATGTATTGTATACCTCATTTTATTATACTGTATACACGTGTTCAAAACAGGGTTTATGGACTGCGCAATTACTTCTAACTATTGCATACGTTCAGCCCGATATTTTAACCCTTAAAGCCCGTGGTAACTATATGTACCACCTGCTTCAACAATAAGCAATTCTTTATTTTGTGTTTATGAGTTTCGTACAAGTCTCAGTTTAAGCAGCAATTATTTCCTTATACAGCGTTAACCAGTCGATCTTCGTAATGGTGAAGTGCGGTGTTTTCTTTTCGGTACGGACTGAATTTTTAAATACGATCTTCAGCTTCTAAGGTGCTCAGTGTTTAGTTACATTCACTAGTATATGACGCAATCCTAAGTAAATTCTATCTTAATACATCTGCATGCATATTACTGGATCCATATTTCAAAATCCCTTTTCCAAAATCTTTCCTAATATTAAAACAAATACTCCAGATAAGCGTGTATGATGATGACGAAGTCTGAATTCATCTGCCTCAGGACAGGGTCCATTGGCGGACGAGATCTCGCGAACACATTAATGAACCTTTGGATTCCATAACACGAAGAAGATTTCTAGAATGGCTTAGCGACTATCAGCTCCACGGTGATCTACAGACCGACATACGCAACACTTTCCTGTTTCAATTATTTCTCGGCACAAACCACTATTTCAGCGATAGATTATTTATTCGATGACCAATGAAAGTGACGCGGGGCTTTGATGTCAGCTGTTATGATGCACAGCAGCGCCAGTCTTTGAAATGTGGGCGGTGAGTGACTTATACCAGTGGCAGAGGGTGATACCAGGCAAGGTGGGGGGGGGGGGGGGTATTTAAAACATATACAACACCTCAGACTTAAGAAGAACGTATCTCGTGATTATGACTGGAGCTGATGAAAGTTCAAAGGAAAGTTCAAAGGGAAATTAAAATTGTATCTGGTCTCGATGGGGCTCTCACAAGACTGAAGACCGCTTCTAGAAGGGTTGTGGCTCCTTTTAGGGAGCGCCTGCCTCACGTTCTTCCCGATCGCAAACGTAATTTCGGCTCAGGATATTAAAATCAAGCGATCGTCCACTAATGAAATGATGTCGGTCTTCTGTGCTGTAACACTGTACGGACTTGTAGACAGAGACCAACGTTTCGGAGGAACGTACTGTCCCCATCTTCAGGATATTACTACTCAGAAGACCAGCACCGCTGTAAGAACCTGGAGTATTTTATACGACTCCAACTTTTCTTCAAATGTTTCACTGTTTATGGCAAAGAGAGCAGGAACTTCAAATCAGTTAACTTTTCCAAGAATTTAGTTTTCCAATTCTTTGCAATACCACTATTAAAATCCCGTCTGCGTTATGTTAAACCAATACGCAGTTTAGTAATATCCATATATATATATATATATATATACGGTTCAGTAAATATAAATGATTCAATAAAACCTTGGTCATCGAACTAGTTAGGAATCATTATTATGCATTACTGGTTCTTAAAGACGTGAGAGGAGATTTCTCTGAAGTTCTATACCAGAATTTTCGTGGAGTGGCTGAAAAGTCACACAAAAGTCTCAATCAAGATGCCAGGTTCAAAATTTCACGTGTTCCCTGAGACGAGTATGAATATCGGGACGGGCCGTGTAATCCGGTACAATGTGACCTACGTTTCAAAAGTTGTTTACTGCCTCCATCATCAGGGCGATAATCTTGAAACCCAGGATACTAACGAGCAGTTCCAAACACATGTTTCCCAAAATGCAATTTTGTTTCTACCATCATGAACTCGACTTTGTTGCTTCTTACACTAACAGCAAGCAGTCCACGGGTGTGAAGACTTCGCAAATTATAATTCCATTACGTCACCACAAGATGTCAAGCTTCTCTGATACGCATTGGATTTCGGAACCGGCAAACAGCACCGCAGAGCAGACTGACGTAACGAATGCTTGTGTACGCGTTCTTTATTACAAATTTGCATAAATGCGGACCTATGTGTGACAAATTTAAAAATTCAGGCGATAACGCATTTAACAGAGTCGGCCTCATATGATAACAACGTGAAACAAAATCAATTATAAAATATCAACCCACAGAAAGACATTATTTAAGAATTCAGTCCGTACCGCGAAGAAAACATCACACTTCGCCATTACAAAACTGAACTAGTTAACGCTGTTTAAGGAAATTATCGCTATTTATTCTATGAAAAACAAAGCAAAACCCACAAACACAAAATGAAGAATTGTTGAAGCAGGTGGTACATATAGTTACCACTGGGCTTCAAACGATTAAAGCAAGATCCCGTCATCTGCCCCGAGTTAACTTGAGATAATTACGAAAAATCTCAGCGAGGACAACCGGTCGCCGAGTTGTTGCAGGCGGGCGGAGATGGAAACGCACCTATAACCGCGAAGAGGCCGTTCCTGCTACACTGACGGTGAGTGTCAGCAGTAAATTCAGATGTCAGGTGGACCTGCGAGTGTCGTCTAGGGACAGTGAAAAGTACCTAAAGCTCCAGTCATTTCTTTTAACAGCAATTCACTGAGCAGCCAGTCCGCCACTGCATACCGTGAGAGCTGTGATGCATAAGAATAAGAAGGATGTTTCCCAGGGAGACAGAGAGCGTCTTCAGAAATGAATGACATTAGCAGCTGCGACCCGACGTTGCCACTTCGCGACCTTATAACTGTCGATTCAAATTTCTACCAACAGGTGGAACTATTGTGACCTGGGATGATATTTACTTTGTGTCGAAACGTGCAGCAATTTGGATCACTGAGGTCAAAAATAGAGCGCGCGCACAGTTTTTGAGTGCGTACTCAAATACGAACCTTGAGCTAGGACTAAAAATTTATTTGAATTTGCACAAAACGTCGCAAAGTTGTGCCTAAGATATGAAGGCGTATGGAAGGCGTGGAAGTAAAGAGCTAAGTATCCTTATAAACAAGAAAAACAGGGCTTCTAGAACCTAGTTTCTGACAGCACGGAGGACGGCGATGTTGTTCTGGGTTGTGACGCCGTGTAGACTAGTACCGCTGACATTTCCTATCCCCGAAACGTCGGTATCTACCTCTGAGTCTACGCGGGTCACAACTCAGAAGAACAGGATAGTCATCCTCTCCACTGTAAGAACTTTCACAAAATGGAGTGACTTTTTTAAAATCCAAAGAAAAATGTTTTAATGGTGACGGATTCATAGGTCCGTAATCAGCCGATGTCGGACACAATCTTAACACTGATTTCCCCTGCACCATACGTGGATATAAACAGAACTGAGAAAACACCTATTTATAAATCCCGTCATCCCACAAAAATACCAACCCTTTTTGAAGATATACTTTTTATTCGTCTTCAAAATATCCTCAAAGGACATCGAAGTGAGTGCCCGGAATTTGCCACAAAATGTTCTCACAAGTCTGCTTCATCTTTCGCAAAATAAATTAAAATCCTGTCATGAGTCCCAGACATTAAAATATCTACGTCACTGTCGACATAAAAGTTTACCAATCGCTCAAGTCTTTAAACGATCAATAACTGTGTATTATTTATTATTATTATTATCAGTGTTCTGTCTGAGGACAGGTCCATATGAACAGGATCCTTCCATCCTTTTCTCGGACTGGGACCTGTTCATATACGTTCTTGGCAGATGATCCAGAAGTGGTTTGCCATTGCCTTCTTCTGTGTGTGAATGGAATAATTGTTGGGATGCCACGGAGGAAAACTCCGTGTTGCCTAGACCACGGCCTTGCCCAACACAAGTTATAAATTCGGGCACCGCCGGGAATCGAACCCGAGACCCCAGGATTACAAGGCCAGCGTTCTAACCGCTAGACCACCGTGGCGGCAACTGTGTATATTATTAAAAAATTAAATTAATGAAGAATGAACAAATTACTCGGTTTATATTTGTAGCATCTGCTGACTAATTATATGATTGATTTCGTCATTAGTATCTGAATGAAACGGACGTTAGTTTAGATATACCCACAGGGTCCACGTTCTAGATGTGTTCCATTTTTTGAATCTTTCCTTCTACGCCAACTGAAACTTATCGCTGACATGCTAACCTTTTTTTTTCATCTTTTTTTTCCACAGAATTTGACACGGGAGTGGAGCCATCTTGAAAAAATGACTGCTCTACAGTTACCAAGCAACAGTGATGGCGTGACAGTGACAGGAGACAATCGATCTGTTTCACGCACATTTCAGGGAAACAACAAATATTATTTCTGTACACGTGTTGTTCTTTGAGACAAAGCGATTTTAGGCTACTTCATGAAACTTATATTGTAAAAAAAAACTGAAACTCATCGAGTACAAAGCATCATTTAATAAACATCACAGGAGAGAAACTGATATCTCCTGACAATATGCCTATCTTGTTCTAACTTTCTATTGAGAACTAAGTGTAGTCTATAACTCAGGGGACATTAACTTATATTGTATCTAAGAACGGATGAAAGTTACATATTATTTTGCACAATATAGGTTTAAGGAGGAGAGTGATTAGCTCCACGATCCGGCTGCTTTACTCTGACCCACTGAATTAAGCTGTTGGTGTGTTATGAGCCTATGCATAATGTACAGGAGGACATGACATTTTGACTATTATTATATGGTGTTTGAACAACCTCAGGTCCCCATCTGGGCCAATTTATTAAAAACTTCGGAGCGAATATCAGGCAGAACGAGTGCCTACATTAAATATTTATCAAATGGAAAGCTGTAGCTTTGATTGTTTACGAGTAAACCTGGCATAAAGTTATATAATTTCCAGTGGAACAACAGCTTTCTTGTTACTCGCATATCCAACAAAGTTGCTTACTTAATAACTCTCTGGATGTTGGGGAAATCCGTGCCAGTTAAGAGTTGGAACATCCAGAGCTGATCTGTTGCTAAGACACAGAACGAAACCAATTTACGTCATTCAATACTCAGACTCAGTTCTCTGTAATAATATTATGTATTTATTATTTAGATGGAATTTAAATTATATTTGTTATTGAGATGGACGGGACATGTAGCGCGCATGGATGGGACAAGAGGTGTGCACCGGGTATTGGTTGGGAAGCCTGAGGGGAAGAGACCTCTGGGGAGACCTAGACGTAGATGGGAGGATAATGTCAGGCGGGATCTATGGGAGATAAGAGTTGATGGAAATGGATTTTGTTTGGCCCAGGACAGGGTCTGGTGGAGGGCTTTGGTTGGTTCGTTGATGAACCTTCCTGTTCCCTAAGCCATCTAGTTAGTTAAGTAGTTGAGGGAAAAACATTTAATTCAAAGGTATTAACCCTTTGAGGCTGAATCCCGTATAAATAATATTTAAGGATTCAGTCCGTACCGCGAAGAAAACACCACACTTCACCATTACAAAGATCAACTGGTTAACGCTGTTCAAGGAAATAACCACTGTTTTTTACTGAGAATAATACGAAGCATTTAAATACAAAATGTAGAGATGTTTATTATTAAAGCACGTGTTACACACAGTTACAAGGGTATTTTTCTAAATGTTGGATCGAGACTCCCCACAACCATCTCCATGAAGCTAATTGACCCAGAAATTCCCCGTCCTTTAAAGAGCCCGCTAACCGCCCTTATCTTGAACCAGATGAATCCATTCCTAACCACGTGTTTCTTTCTGATACGTTCAGTTATGAAAAAAGATAAAAACGTATGGTTAATTCTGATTGGTAAACCATGATTATACATTAAGGAAGATACAAAGAGCCTGAGAGTGCACATTACACCAGGTATAAATATTTATCTCGTAACGTGTGAGTGTACGCCTACATTTTGCCTCTGAGTGTACATTGGAACAGTTGCATCATGGCAGAGAAATTGTTAATCTGACCAAGTAAATACATTGGCAAACCACACTCGTGTTCAAAATTAAGCCACGTAATATTCCATCCTACAGCAAAAATGACGCCACAGTCGTGTGATCTAGAAACCCAAAGCGATGTTTTTTTTTAATGCTGAAGAGTAATTGATGGAAGAGAGTGTACAGAACGGTTGATAACACGTTTTGGCAGACTGATTTATAAATTTAGATGAATTTCTTTTGGCAAAGCTTTGGCTCGCTTGTTGGCAATAAGAAATATGTCTTCCGGGAGGCTCTCACAGGCGAACGTTACGAGGGGCTAAGTCTATACGTTTCGGTCAGGTAGAAACAAAGATGTTTTACTGCTAAACACAAAGTTAAAAATCGTATGAACGGAAAAGTTTTTCTTTCAGTGGTTTTAATTGATATAAACAAGAATCCGGGCTCCATAAATAAGTCTAAAACTTCTTGACGATGGTGAAGAGTCAATTGAATAAAAATTTACTTGGATATTATCCATCGTCTAGTAATAAAACGTAAAAAACGTAAAACGACGTTTCGGAGATGGGGCTCTATCTCCACTCCAACTGAGTAGGAACCTGAAGACGGAGATAGAGCCCCATCTCCGAAACGTCGTTTTACGTTTTTTACGTTTTATTACTAGATGATGGATAATATCCAAGTAAATTTTTATTCAATTGTCCATAAATAAGACCTAAATCTCACAGCCATTCAACAACAGCCACCAGCCCGCGACGTCCCAATCAGTACACACACAAATATTTCTACGCGCTTCTAACATGAACGCATGACAGAGAGGTTATCCCTTCCCAAAGATGCTAAATCGATTTCGAGTAAATATTATACTGACAGTCAAATGAACGGGAAAATTATTGGCAGAGCTTTATTTTAGTGTTGAGATCTGAGGATCCCAAGGCAAACAGGACATCGCCCGGGGTCTTTTGCGTTGTGATTCCACGTAGTAAGGCCATAAGTTCATTTACAAAACAAGACTACAGGAGTCACAACACAAAAGATCACAAATGATAGATTTCAGTTACTCCCTTCCGCCAAACTGTCCGTTAAAATAATAACTGGGATCTTTCGTATTCCAAAACTGTGGTCCTAAACTTGGCAAAGGGAAAAAGTGATGTATACAAATAGTTGTATAATAAACACTACAGTAAAAATTAATTAATCAGCCTGTTTATAAGTTCGGCTCAACGAAATTTGCATTCCACACGGCCTTTACGCAATATGCACACCATAATTTCTTATTTTAACGGCGCAACAACCCAGAAAACTCACCGTCGTGAAAACCTCAAAACCTTCAGGAAGATAATATTAAAACGGATCTTTAATAACTGAAGTATGAAACAATAAACTGCATACGGTCCAGTGATAGGCTCTTGTAATCACAGCTAGACCTTGGGGAGGGGAAGGGGAACTTGACCATTTAAGTTAATACCAACATTTTAACAAAGACCCTATAAGTTACGCGGGTGTAACAAATGGAATCATTTCTGCAACATTATCGCGTGCAGGGGCCCAGTGAGCGGGCCTAGCAGCCTTGTCGTCAGACCGCTTTATGTTCACAGCCGAGAAATAAAGCAAACAAACGAGCAGTGTCACCCGAAATTAAACAGTAGTGATGACATTGTTACACGCAGACGAGGCGCGTCGTTAAACGTAGTCGCAAGTGGTCACAGATACTTCCTACTAGGAACGCGCGGGAAGGGTGGGTTTTTTTTCTCATAAGACAGCGATTATTCGGGTGATACAGAAACGGAATTTGAAATTTCGATAGTTCGATTCAACTAATATTTTCACAGGATAATCTATTTCTCTGAGATATATCTCAGTATTATGCTCTCATCAAGGTCCACACCTGCATCTCCCAAGCGATATCTAACCTAGAAACACTCGAAACAACTTCATACGCATGACACATGCTCAATCAGCTGATGTATTACATGAAGACAATAAGACTGTGAAAAATGACAGCATTTGGACGAAAAATGTGTCGATCCTTTGACGTCGAAGCTCGTCTAAATAATATTTAAGAATTCAGACCGTACCGCGAAGAAAACACCACACTTCACCATTACAAAGATCGACTGGTTAACGCTGTTTAAGGAAATGATCGCTGTTTACACTGAGAATCATAGTTCGTCTGATTAATATTAAAGAATTCAGTCCGTACCGCGAAGTAAACACAACACTTCACCATTACAAAGATCAACTGGTTAACGCTGTTTAA